CAAAGAAAAGCAAGACCATATATACTCATTAATTTTGCCATGATCATTTACCCCAAACTGTTCCCCTTCAGATGTGTAAGATTAAAACTCCCATGATCTAATAAGATCTAACATGATTATCTTAAGTGGACTTTATTAAAATAACCTAAAGGCGTTCCAAGCATATGGATCACTATAATATTAGATATATGTGTATATACAGTAAGTGTTGGAGGGATAAAGGAGCATTAGATATGGGTTCTGGATTGTCAGTTATGATGCTAGACTTATCCCTCTTTTTAGCGGAAAAGACTCTTCCTTTAGATGGCTTTAAAGATGCTGGCATAGCAGAAAGAATAAAAAAAATAATAGTTGTGATATAAAACATGTTTTATATCATAGATATTTTTTTAGATGTATTATTACTAGGGTTAGTATTGTATTAATATGGTAATAGATGAGCAGAAGTAATGTTATTATGTGATTTGTCTCTTAGTATATTGTTGTATCAATTTATTTCACTCTGTTTTTGTTCTTTTAAATTTGCTGGTCATTGACCAAATAAATATAATCAATATATTTATATAATTATAATCAATCCATCAATTGGAGAAAGAATAATGCTGAGGCAGAAGATTGTTTCATGCAAATAATATTTCCAGCATGTCTAAAAGCATAGTCATTTTATGTCTGTCCAATTTGGTGGTCATTTAATTCAACTAGGAAGCTCGAACTAAATGCTAGCCTCTCCTCCTCCTCCTCCTCCTCCCAGCTTTCTCCAGGTGCTTAAGAGGACTTCCATGGGATCTCCAGTTTATCTGCACTCTCAATCCACAGAGTAGCCTGTACTGAGAATGTGACTATCTCCAAGTCACCTGGTGAGTTTCCAAAGCAGAGGCTGATCTTAAACTTCAGCCTCCCCAGTCTTAGGCAAACTTCTTAACCACTACATGATGCCATATCAGTATTTTTTATTCAAGAGCAGCCTTTCCCACTTGAAGCTTTCTGCAAAGTGTGTTTATTTTCTGTGAGTAATTGTCATGGAAACGATATTTAGTACAGAGCGTCCCTTGCTAAGAAACCTGCAAAATTTCAAGAGGATACATGCAGTGCTTTGGTGGAAGAGAAATTATATTCTAAAGAGGAGCAATTTCCTTCTGCCTCTGTGCCCACTCCCTTAAAAAAAAAAAAAAAAAAGTATGAAAATGGAAATGCCATAGACAAATCCATGATATTCTACAAGGCTACAGGGAGGGGCAAGTGAGTTATGATGAATTAAATGCTCTCTTAGCAAAAAGGCAGAGTATACATCACCATCAGTTTAAGGTGTTTTTAAAATTATTATTATTAGTAGTAGTAGTACTTGTAGTATCAGCTCAGATAGAGTTTAGGTCACAGAAAGTACTCAAGAGATTAGGGAAGGATCATAGATAGAGAGCACAGAGAGCAGAAGCAGAAGGGCAAAAACAACCAGTATTTTCTAATATTCCTATCCCAGGCTCAACACAAAATCTTGGGTTGCAAGTAGATCAGATAAAGGAGAACCTGGATCTCAAACACATATCACTTCATGTGAGTAATTTTGAAATACAGGACAATTTGGAGACAAATTCTGTAAGGGCAGACTACAGTGATGCTGTCTAGTGCTATAATAATTTCTTCTTCTAAATACAAGTCCTTCTTAAACCATCTCTGTCCCTTCTACATGTTTCTCAGCTGCCTCCTGATTCCTTTTGTAATCGTACATAGTCCACTCGTCATTGCTATATGTTTCCTGTTACCCTCCAGTTTATCCAACTGGTATGTCTATGTTCTGGAGGGATCATGTCTTCAAAATGGAGAGGAGAGAGTCAGAGCAGTAGTACTTAGTACAGCTGAGCAAAGCTTCAAATGAGTGATTTGGTTCAAATGAGATTCGATCAATTTCCCTTCAGACTGAACGTCTGAATCAATTTGTTGGAGAGCCAGTTTGCTGCAGTGGCTAAAGTGCTGGGTTAGGAATGGGGAGACCATGAGTTCTAGTCCTCCCTTAGGCATGAAAGCCAGATGGGTGACTTTGAGAAAGTCAATTTCTCTCAGCCCAACCCACCTCACAAGGCTGTTGGGAAAATTGGAGAAGGGAACGCTAGGTACTCCACCTTGAGCTGACCAAAAATAAAAGTGGGATAAAAATCAAATGAATAAACAAACAAACAAACAAACAAATTTGATGTTTCAGATCAAATCAGGAGCCTTCAAATCACTTTGGAGAGATCTGAAAGTGAATCTAAAGTTTCATTGACATTTTGGCTTTGCAAAAGTTTACACATTGCTGTGGCTTTCCTTTCATACAAGGACAAAGTGAAGGGAGATAAATGGTGTAAGGAGCTCTGCAGGAGTTTTTATTACTTTATTTGGGCAGGTTCCTTTTGAGAGAGGGGGAGAGGAAGAGAGGGAGACAATCCATTTATTTATTGTACCACAGGATCTGAGCCAGAGTACTGGCTGTAGGACTACTGCATATAGACACTTTCTTTAAAACATCATCTCATACATATGCAATAGTAATAGCAGGCTTTTTTTTTTTTTAATATTGCACAGACTACATAAGACAGGGATCCCAAAGAGGCTAACCTTGCCACTGAACCTGGCCCACAAGTCTACCAACTTAGACAAACAAGCAGCCAGAGAGCTTTTGGATATTTAGTGAGAACTTAAACATTTTTTTAAGTTGAAGTAACACAGTCTCGCTCTGTACTTTTTGCAGGAGAATTTGGAGGCTGCCTTGTTCCTGCTACATTTCTCTACCTCAAAAGAGATATAAGGAAAATAGCCCAAAATGTATTTCAATGAAACCCTTGAAGCTATCTGCTGAAGCTTTACAGACCTCTATTTTCCTTGTGATTTTCATTGCATTCTGCAAAAACAAAAGTCAACAAACAAAACGGCTACAGATATTTGGATCCTTGCCAATTAAATTCTACAGTTGCATATTTTATCAAATTCAGAATTAAATCTTGAGTCAATCCGAACTGAGTCCTTTCATTGAATCTGTTCCTCATGTGTGCATTATTAAGTGTGGTTGTGTGATACCTTTAGTTATTGAATATCTGAGGAGGGATAAAGTGTATTTGTCTTTATATTGTCTCCCAAGCCAGTTTAGGTCTACTTTTCAGGTCCCACTCCAAGATTCAGGTCCACATAAATCAGGACTATTGTAGCAAACAGCAGAGAATTACTCAATTATCCTGAGGCTCTGGAGCAGTCTTCCCTTTGAGGTCCATAATAAATTAGAAGAGCTATAAAATATTACTTTTCTAGTGCAAAAGTATTGGCCGTCTTTCAGATTTTCTGAGTTTTTGCATATCTTTGCCATTGTGTGTTATCAGAGCTACACGGGGGTCCTGCTGATATATAAAGGGAGCCTGAGTAAGCAGAAAATACCACAATGAACCTTTGATAATATTCAGTGGAGAAATTATTCAAAATAATTGCCTTTTTTCCCTAAAAGATGTCATGTACTACTTAACATATACTGTAAATATTTCTTCAATATATGTATTGTTGGAAACAAGTCCCCCCTCACAAATCAAGAATGCAAATTGGATTTCAGAAAATCTCCTGACTTCCTTTGGCTTGGGAGTCTGCCCCACACACCCAGCAATGTGGAAAACCATGGCCCCAACAGCAGGATCTTATGCACTCACCTCTTGTGATAGATCATTTTTGCCCTGATTGCATCTACCAATGCTCAATTTATAATGATTCATGACAGCATGGCTTTGAATGTTCAGTCAAAAATCCTAGTTCCTCCATCCTAACATAAAGTCTTTTCATGGATTAAAATAGACTGTTTCCGATTTTTTTTGGGGGGGGGGATTTCTTTTCAAAGCAAAATTGTTTGTCTTAGTCCCAACTGGATATATCTGAACCACCAGCCTGATATTCCTGAGGAACTGCTTAGCTTTCCTTTAACTTGATATTCCAGAGTTCTGACAATCATCTTTTTCTTTTACTATTCTCTCAACTGGGAATGTGGTATATCCATAATGTCCTAGGGCTTCATTCTGTCACACTTTCTCTAGTCCTGCATGACAGCCCATCAGGAGGGTGTCAACAGAGAAATGCCTCCATGCTGGATGTGTCATTAGTGCATTATTGGTCATAGGATGTCAGCCTATGTGAACCTGCTTTGTAAGAACCTGCAGAATACGTGCTGAATTGGACACAATAGATATTTAAGGACTTTTCCCCCCCTGTCTCCACTTTTCTTTATGGATCTTACACCAGTATCCATTTATTCTGTGAGCCACTTGGTAAAATCATAGCCCCTTCAGCGAATACTATAGAACAAATTCAAATTCAACTCATTCCAGATACTTATGCGATTTTTTTCTGCAATAAATGCATGGATGCCTGTGGGTATATTAAGCTATACTTGTAGATGAAACAGCAGTAGAAGCATTTGTACACTTTTTGAAGGACAGTTTTTAAAACAAGTGAGGCCTGTTACAGTATCTCCTTCTCTCCTAATAGGAACAACACTATTCTGTTTCTTCCAAGCAAGAAACTCCCCCACACACATTTGCTGTCATTTTATCATATTTTGAGGCTTCCAAACATAATGTCTTTGACTTGATGATGTCACACCTCTCTTGGAGTACTCCTTGTCCAAAGAAGAAGATATAGAGGATCATGCTCAGGAGAAATCTGCAGACTTGAATCTTCTAGTGGAAGAGAATAATAGTCTAAAGTATGCCGGAAAATACAGTAGCTGATCTTGATAAATAAGGTCACTCATGACCAGGTTAAAAAAGATGCAGTACCCATTTGAAACAGGCTTTGCAGGACCAGGGATTTCCAGATTATTGACCACTCTGCTAGCAAGGAGACTCCTTTAATATCAGCATATATGCAGTTTCTATTCAATGTCACAACTTTGTAGACCTTTGTGCCATGAACATTCCTACCATGACTGCTATGGATATTTCCTCATACAATTCTTTGGATTGATAAATTTGCCATCTTTTGTCTTTCTTTGCTTCTCAACCCCTGGCTCCAAAACCAGTTCTTCTCTTGCATTTCTAAGAGCCTGGATTTTATTGATTTTGCTAACCCAATTTCTTGTTGCTTATTAGTTAAGACTATGGTGGGGCAGGGTCCTTCCATTAGATTTTTAAAAATGTGTTTTTATTTATGTAAATTATGAACATGCCAACTTTTCCTTCTTATTTCTCAGTAGTTCTGCTTTGGCTTTAACCTGATCATCACTCCTCATCTGGATGTACAGTACAGTGATTTTTTTTTAAAAAATTTCAGAATAGATTAAAAAGTTGCTTTGAAAAAACTGAGTTCTTTGAATTGTAATTCAAAGCTTGTGTTTCTCTTCCTTGACATCAAGAAAAGAATGAAATGGTCTAGGCTAAATGGTCTAGGCTTGTTTCTTTTCACTACAACAGTAACAGGAAAAAAAAAAAATGGGGAAGTGTATATCTACCTATAAACAGCCATTTCCCTCTGCCTTTTAAAATATATATATATATTTTAATTAAGAATTTTAATTACAATAGTAAAAACTAGCACAAACTAAACTTTGAGAAAGAGAAGAGAACGGTGAGAAAGAATAAAAAGTGCAGAAAAAAAGAAAAAGAACGAATAAACAAAAGAAAGAATAAAGAAAAAGAAAATAAATATATAAAGAAGTGACTTCCCACCTTCATCACAAGTATAAATAGATTTAATAACTCTTCACTCCCTTATAAAGTTAAACAGATATCTCTTCATCCCATATT